GCTGCCCGGTAAGCGAGGAAAGGGCGTGAAAACACAGCGGGCGACCATTCTCTTTACCCAGTGGCCATTTTAGAACCGCCAATCAGCTGTAAAAAAAATCGATATGCGAAAATCGGTAAGCAAAACGCTTACCGATCATCACAAAGCGATGTTTTACTATTAGAAACATCGCAATGCGATCGCAAAAAACACATCACTATGCGGATTCGTCGTTAAACGAATTGCTCGTTATGCGGGGCACCACTGTACAGTATTTATTTATATAGCATCAGTGTGTATTTCATGGAAGTGAACATAAGATGAAACAAGAAAAAGAAGTTTCAGAATGGTTTGTTTCATTTCCTCTCTCATCTCACATCAGAACCAAAGAGGTAAATATTCCACAGGCTTTCTAAAGCAGTTTTCAGCTTCAGTGTGATAAAATTTCAATGGCATTTCAGAAAACACCAGGTACTGGGGACAACAATTATTCAATTGTTACCTCACCTAGAGTTATCAACATGGATATAGAAGAGTGGCTAGCCATGTCTCCCATTTGTGTGCGCAAAATAAGGCTGAAGAACAGCGTGGAGGATCTACATGTGTGTGGGCTCTGCATATGAGCCAGAACCTCTCCTCTTCAAACTTACTCTTGCTCATGTGAAGAAAATTACACGGGAAGGTGCACAGCTAGTTGCTCTTTTCTACCTGTCTTGAGGACAGCAAAGAGGGGTTGTTAACTGGGTTGTTAACTGTGACACTCTCTCACTGAAGATGGTAATATGACCGAGATCAGAAGAGTTGAAAATTATACACTTTATTGTATTATGTTGTTTATATTAATATTGATAACCTTTAATCTTCTGGGTTCCTTGGATTTAAAATCTCTTTCTGAAGTACTGTATATGCCAAAGGTAGTAGCTATAGCTTATTTTAAATCACCTTGGGACGGCTAAAACCTTATTCACTTGTTTCAAGGGAGGATTCAAAGCTTTAAAATGTTCAGGCAATTCATCCATTCATGCGCTGGTTTTAACCTATAAAGCCCTAAATGGCTTGGGTCCA